CCACACATGCTGAGCTTGATTCTGCGGGAGGTTTCTTCCTGTTAAAAGGGAGTTTTTCCTCTTTACTGATGCTGCATGCATGCATGCTTGGTGTGAGGGACTGCTGTACAGTCAATGACTCAATGCAAGCAAATGCCACTTCCAGATGTTCATCCAGGAGGAGTAAATTCTGCAAAGTCAATGACTTAATGCAATAAACTGGTTTTCCTATAATGTGTTAAGATGGCATGTGTTGTGAACTGGCCCTGTATAAAACTGGAGTGAAACTGAAACAAAATTGTAAAAAAAAAAAAACAACAAATTTAATGGAGGCTTGAGGGAAAACATTTAAATGTTTTTCGCCTAGTGAGATTTCACACCTGAATCCAACTGAGAATCTATATTGTAGACTTAAAAGGTCCAATCTATAAGTGCAAAACCATCAAACATGATTTGGATAAAAAATATTTAAATAAATCAAATAAAATGTGGAGAAATACTTGTTTTTTTATGCAACAAACTCAGAGATGGCAACATTCAGAGTGTTCTATAAAATTCACCAGGCAATGGCATATTAATTGGGGACAATCCTTTGAATCTTTATGTTTGTATTATATATAATAAAAATACCTCCATTAATTCTGTGGAAAATGTTTGTTTTAAGCATTAAAGAATAAAATAAAATTAGAATCAGCATTACAGACCTCTGAATAAAGACAAAAATTGGTGGTAACGGGACAAGACTGACTGGTACATCTTTATGATGTATATTTGTAAGGGTATATGTATCACTGGTAATAATTCAGAGTAAATTTAGCTAAGATGCATGTTGTTAGATGGAAAAACAAGCAAGCTGACAAAATATTTCAACTGTGATTAAGAGTGTTGCATACTGAAGTACAGTCTGCTTGCATTTCAGTATGGGGAACTATAGTCACACAGGCGTTGTGTGAGGTTCAATAAGAGAAGTTCAATAATGTGAGAAGAATATGTGTATATATATTTAAACAAACTGAGGGTTCTTTTTTTTTTTTTAGATCTGCAACCACAAAAACAAAAACTGACACATACAGGCACAATGAAATGAGCATCTCCAACAGACAGTCCATAGGATGCAGTGCTATGCCTGTGGTTGCTGGGTTACAAGCTCCGGACAAGTGCCACCACAGCCCTCACAAACATGCAGACTCCATAGAATGGGTGGCAGGGAGGAAATATTAAGATCTGTGCTCAAATCGATCAACCGTTTACAGAGACACAAGGACAAAGCCACTGGAGAAGAATGGTTTAAAAAGGGAAAAGAGAATTTCATGGCCGTAGAGAGCCAGACTCCCCTGAGACAAGGGCAGCCCAATCAGTCCAGAACTGGCCCTAATCTGCAGCTCACATCATCACTCAACCCTTTGGCGTGCTGGTCTGATGTTTACTGGGCCAGACATGCTGCAAGCCCCCCGACACACACACACACACACACACATACACAGGAGACATGAAATAAGTGTACAAAATACAAACGCATACGGTGACGAAAACAACCAATGGATTAAATATGCTTGGATTCGGCTACATGGCAGATGAGATGCTATGACACACAGACGGCTTAACGGGCAGACGGCGACAACAAATCTGCAGCAAATACCAAAACACAGGAGGCGGTATATGAATATGCCTTTTACTGCTGCTGAAGACACACACAGCAGCTGGCATAAACACACACATTCAGAGTTAAATATCCAAGTCCCTAACGTAACAAGTGTAAGGAATCACAGTAGCATTACGATCAAGTCCAAGTAAAACTGCAGCACTACGGCGATGTATGCAGGGGTGTTTTCACGCCACTAGCTTTTCTATACCTCGACAGACAGTTAACATGGTGTTCCTACAGCTAGGAGTTGATATAACAGAAAATAAATTATTATAAATAAAATATTAATGCTTTTTATGCATGAGAGTATTCTTCTCTAGCCTGGCTTTTTCTTTGTCAAACACAAGCAACTGCATCAAAGTACATGCTGTAGGTCAACATCAGACCTGTCAATCACTGAAGTAGATCAAGGGAAAGTTGGACAAATCTTCATGTGCAAGTGAAGGCCGTATCATGTACCGAGAACTGACGTGTCACCCAAACTGCTAACGTGGAGTTTGCATGATGTTTTGCACACATACACAAAACACAGCAGGCTGTGGAGCCAGCTTTAGGAAGAAAAACAAAGGTGCTAGCAGTAGGAATGTTACTGCCAGGGCTGTGGTTCTTTATACTGAACTTTCCTAATGCAAATGAATTTAATTAGAAGGCAACAGGTAAAACCTGCTGCAATGCAACAGGCTGCTTCATCGCCTAGAAGAGAGCAACAACAACTGAGGGCATAAAGCAGCCCTTTGAGAAGGTTAAACTTTTATCTAATAATGTTATTTCTACTTGTGTTAATGCACCTCTAGAAATGAAATAAACTGACAAATTGGATTTGGATTTGAGATTGGATTTTTCTTCTTTTTTTTTTGGTAAACAATTATTATAGATAAAAGTGAACTTAAAGGTATAGTGGAGAATTTTTGGTGAATTTTTTAAAAGACCCACCCTCTCCACTTAAAACAAATAAATGCACATATACAACCCTGTATCTACTCCTGAGAGGGAATGCTTATTAAACACGTGCAAGAGCGTGCACAAGCCCATTTCTCCTTGTGCATGCTCTGTTTAAAAGTTGCTGTATGCATTGCTCATACAAGCTTACTTTCCAAAAGAAGATTTGTAATTTCTTCACTATGTCAGACTCACCAGCAGTAGGTGAAAATGTGGATGAGCAAGTAGGACGGCCTTACGAAAGCATAACACCAGAATGATTGATAATTAGGAGGATCACTTATTTTGATGATCCACGCCGAAAAAGAACATTTTACACTATAACTTTAAATTCCAGTTTGACTATGTTTAAATGAAAAGATGACTTAGACCCAACCTAAAAAACATGAATACAAAATTGCTTAGTTAGTGGTGATAACTTGAATTAAGCAGTTCACTCCTGTGCAAATTCTCAGTCATCCAGGTCATGGCCACCACAAAACAGGCTTAAATCAGAGGTATTGGATTTTTGCTGTTTTTCTACAAAACCACATAAAGCATGATGGGAGAGGCAGCAGCTCTGGCCAAGATTCAGCTGTTTACTTACACCTCTAAGGAAACACCTTTGAATTAAAATGTTCCGATCTCGATCAGACGTTTGAATAACAGTGTGAAGGACGCCATCTTTAAGGGAGAAAAGACATCAATAGAAACATTGCCCTTTCAGCTCCCAACCATAAACAACTCTTGGAACTCATTGCAAAAATATTTAAGCATCTTTTACTCAGAGTTACAGGCTATGATACTGTGTTTGATAAAGAGATTATTACAGAGTAGAATCAGTTCAGATCTGGTTGTGACATCGACCCAATCTGAATGCATCCTGGCTGCAAACAAAGAACCTGCAAGACCATTAATATTAGCAGTATGTAAACACACAGGGGGTATGCTCCCAAAGAAAACTTGGTACTACTGTATACCTTGTCTTCTTTTTTTGGAAAACTGCTGAAACTTCCTGGATGCTTAACAAGCATGACAGCCATATTGAATCTAAGCTCCTCTGTATTTTAATGTCATCATTATGTCCCAATCTGGCCAGAGATAAATCACAATCACAATTTTTTTCCTGATTAGCAGATCAAAAGATAAGAAGAAATTATAAAATCCCCCCCCCCCCATAAAAAACAAAAAAAAATTTAAAAACCCCCCCCCCCCCAAAACAATAAATAAAGATTATAATAAAGTTCATAGGACCTTTGACAAACATGCATCAAGCTTTTTTTATGTTTCAGTATTAAGAAAAAGGTCAAGGACTTATCGTTTGATTCATAAAAAGGACTAAATCTTGCAACAGCTGCATTTCCTGCTGAAATGTAGCACTTACCTTAAAAAAGGGTTCGGAACGAATCCAAATTGATATAGACTCGGGATTTTTAATAGAACTTTACAAATACTTTGACAGAAAAGCTGATCGGGTCAAATCTTTGTCAAAAAATGCAAATAATTGTCATGCCTGTGCAAATCCTCAGTCATCCTCATTACGGCAACCACAAAACGGGCCTAAACAGGATGTAAAACATTGATACCATCACCTAGCTTGACAAAGAGTTCTGAGTAGATGTCAAAAGTTTTAAGGAAAACTGAGCGAAAGTGTGAGGACTTGGCTTCCGCTAGTCTGTTATTTAAGCCGGTTTTGTGGTTGTAAATAACTTCTTCTGTTGGAATTAAGACTGCTAACCTATCAAGTCAGCTATACTTTCATTAAAGAAGAGAAAAAATTAGTCGACAGGAAAAGCTGCTTTAGTGAAGCTCTACCAAAACTTTTGAACAACCTGCTATGGTTTGATTTAAGAACTCTGCAGCCTTTTTTCACATCTTATCTACTGGTAAAAAAGTGAGGAGTAAGACAAGCCTCAATCAGCAATAAGGGGAGATGATCTTTGCTATTAAGAGGCTCTAAAAAAAACACTTGAAATGCTTGTTTTTTGTTGCCTTCAAACACTTAATAATAATTTAAGGCCTGTGAAGAACAAGCTGACAGCAGAGTGAAGACTGAGAAAAATGCATGCGGTAAAAACAGGATGACAGTCTCTAGACCAGCCTGGTCTTAAACATTTCTGTAAACCAAAGGATTTCATAACTATTTGCAAAAAAAAAAAAAAACAGCTGAGGATATTTAAAGCCCAGGCTTGAGAACTTGCAATCCTTTGCAGAGGACCAGCCATAACAAACCAAAAATATTGCAGACAAGAGCCAAAATCCACTGAACTCTTGTGCGATTACTCTTAACGCAGCAGCTGGGCTGTGCCAGGTGCCCTGCAGCTTTCCAGGAATCTCCACTCCAAAGCATATAGGACATGTTTGGCCTACTGCTCTCCAGGAACGCAACGAAACCACTTGAGCTGCTTTCCTGTTACCAGATGTCCAGTGTACCAAACTTCCCCCAGCTCGTCCTTACCTCTGCCTGAGAGCTTTTTGGTGTTGATGATTTTAGCAGCATACTCCTGTCCGGTGGACTTCTTGATGCATCTACGAACCACAGAGAAGGCCCCCCTGGAGATGGAGAGATTGACAGAACAGTGAAAACCACTTTCAAATGTAAACAATTGCTGGATTTACACACATTGAAGCCATGCATGATTTATAGCCTCCTAAAGAGGGAACACATTCATATTTAATAAAGTCATATACTGGGTTTTTGAAATAGGGTCTCATCTATGAGTGCATAGCAGGAAAAGCAGGAGGATGTGTCACGCTGGTAGGTGGAGCAGCTTTATTTGCCCCCACATAGAGATAAGGCGTTAAAAAGTGGCTCAACAGTCTGCAGGAAAGCTTCAACTAGTGGTTTAAATATGGGGATTTGAAAACACCACAATGTTAATGCGGCAAAAATAAGAATCCAAATAAATAATCGTGGCTATTTTGACGCTGCGCAGTAAACCAGTGATGAACAGCACGACCATTAGATGGCAAACCAAGTAGTGAGGCGTGCTACCTGCAGACAAATCACTAAACAAGGTATTCCTCATGTTTAAAGGAAGCTACAATGGCGCCATGCACCTTTAAAGACGCACTCACTCGGGATTAAACGCAAGCCTCTGCAGCGCCTGCAGAAAGAAGCCCGCTGACAGTTTACTGCTGCACAGCAGACCGCCTGCAGACTAACCCTGCTTGGTGGTTCTGACAGACCCATTCCAGCCCTGTCAACGCTGGAAGTAAGCGCACACACACACAATGCAGAAGCAGCACAGAGGAGGAAAAACGTGCAACGCACAGAGACACAGGCAGCGTGAATGCAACAAGAGAAACTGGGGTTTAATGGTCGCTTACTTTCCGAGTTCCTCATACAGCTGATACTCGTCTGTGAACCTGGTCGAGGTTACAAGTGTGGCCATGTTGACTGAAGTGAAGGCTCAGAGAGGGGAAGAGAGGCTTGATCTCACAGAGAGGAGCATGGAGTGGGAGGGGAGGGGAGGGGAGGGGAGGGAGCAGGCACAGAGGTAGCTGTAGTAACACAGATCCTCTATGAACAGGAGGAGTCACTCTGGAGAGGATAGCGCTGAGCCTTAAATTCGTTTTGCTCAAACAAACCTAAGCCAGCTTTATTTCTGCTCTCATTGTGTCTTGTCTTGGCTGGATGTTAAAGGAAGTTGTCCTTACCATAAAAGTCCTGCTCATTAACTAGGACTAGCATCTCCTCACAATATGATGCTGCCACTACTATGCATTATGGTGGGGATAATGTATGCAGGGTGATGCACACTGTTGGGTTTCTGTCAAACACATTTTTTTTTTTTTTTGCAGGGCTGCTCAGTAGAACAGTGGGTAGCACTGCTGCCTTGCAGCAAGAAAGTTCTGGGTTCAACTCTCGGTCCAGGGTCTTTCTGCATGGAGTTTGCATGTTCTTCCTAAGCATGGGTGGGTTTTCTCTGGGTACTCCGGCTTCCTCCAAAAACATAACTGTTAGGTTAATTGGTTTCTCTAAATTCTCCTTAGGTGTGTTTGTATTGTTTGTTTCTGTGTTGACAGGCGACCTGTCCTGGTTGGACCCCGCCTCTTGCTCGTAGATGGCACCAGCAGCCCTTGCGACCCCAACTGGGATAAGAGTGTTAGAAAACGGATAGATGGATGGGAAAAAATCATATTTACCGACCAAAGCACTTTTTGTTTTTGTTATGATTAAAATGACTATGCAAACAATTAGTCTTTTTATTTTCTTTATAACATGTCTGTTTTTTTTGTCAGTCTTAAAGTGTAACTCTTCACAAATCATTTTTTTTTTAAATAAACTTTACAACCAGGGCCTGAGGCATGCTATTTTAATGTCACTGTGCAATCTG